CCAGTACGTCGAACTCCACGCCCCGCTGGATGTCCCAGGCCTCGCCCCACGAGTCGGTCAGCTCCCTGATCGCCTCCAGCAAGCGAGAGCTCCCAGCGAAGAGCTCCAACACCCCAGGTCGCCCCATGGTGGGAGCGGCCGGGAGGTCCTCCTCCTCGCCGATCGCCTCCTGCGCCCGCTCGATCTCGGTGTAGCTCTGCTCGGCCAAGGGTCCCCAAGCTCCCCCATCTCCTCGGGCAGCTTCCCGTCGGACGTCCTCCTCCGTGCAGTCGCAAGCCAGGGCGCCGAAGCCCTCGTTGGACGCATCCGTCATATATGCTCTCGGCCACCAGCCCATCTCCAGGTTCGACTCCATGTAGACCGAGAGGGACGCGACGGCCCTCAACTCGCTCCTGACCTCCTCGGGCAAGCGGTGCGGCACAACACTCTCCTCCTCGGTGAACTCCCTCAGCCACCTGTAGGTCGCGTCCAGGATCGCAAACGAGGGGCGGAAGACCATCATGGTCCAGGTCCAGTGCCCGACCAGAGAAGCCACCGCCGCAGGTCTGAGAGCCACTTCCAACACCGCCGCCTCGGTAGCCAGCACGACCTGCTCCATCTTCTTCGGCTGGATCCTCAGCGTGTAGGGTCTCGTGGCGGCAATGCACAGGCCCAGGCCGTTCTCCATCCCTTCTCCCCAGGCCTCCTTGTGCACCGCGAGCCCCTTGCCGTTCAGAAGCTCCTTGATCATCTCCTTGTCCTCCAGGATCTTCAGCTCGCCGTCCTCGCCCTCGAGGGTGAAGCCGATGTAGTCGTCGATGTACAACATCAGCAGGAACCTGATCGCCTCCTCCTCCGATAGGCCAAACGACGGGGTGGGCTTGCCGTAAGTCAAGCTGGGGGCCTTCAGGGACTCGAAGCTCGCCTCCAGGCAGCTGTGGGCCAAGAACACCGCCCACGCCGAGCCCATGACTAAGCTCGAAGCCCCAATACCAATGTCCTCCTCGCGCGGCTTCGGCAACGCCACACCCTGCGCCATCCCGTACTGGTACAGCTCCTGCGGCGAGACATCCTCCACCACAAAATACTCCGCCAAAAACGAACCCCAGTGCAACCGATAGAACCAGTCCGGTACGTCGCCCTGGAAGGAGAAGAGCCGCCGTCCACGCAGCACCGCCTCGTCCAGCTCCAGGAGCGCGAGGCCCGCGGGGCTGCCCAAAGGCACCCACGGGGGATCCACGAAGAGCAGGTTGACTCTTCGGCAGTCCCAGATCAGCCGAGACTTCAAGATACCACCAGTCTTGGGGTCGAAGTCCTTCGCCACCGTGAACAGCCCGACATGTTCGCGTACCCTCGTCACATATGTTATCATTCCAGCCTGCGCCATCCGCAGGGCAAGTGCCAAGCGCTCCTTCTTGCTCCGCCACGCCGGGTCCGAGTAGCTCTTTGTCGCCTCGTACTTCTCCCAGTCGACTTCCCCCGAGCCCTTGATCATCAGCTGGCTGGCCTCTGCGAGGTACCGCCCAGCGAGACTCGAGATCGCCGCCACCTCCAAGCTCTGGGTTCCCGGCGCTGGGAGAGACACCTGCTCCGCTCTCAGAGGGCACAGGTCGCCCTTCCTCAACTGCGGTGAAGCCTTCGATGCCGTTGCCGTCGTAGGCCTCGATCCCTTCGCAAAATACTCTGTCGGGCCCCCTCCTGCCAGGCGGCTCAATGCCGCCCTGCCGTCGTTGATGGCCCCCCACTTCGCCCTCGCGGCGTGAAGGTCCCAGGCTTCCGTCACCAGTCTTTTCTGCAGCGGCGTACTCGCACTCCAGTCCGTCTGGCACGTCTGCTTGTCCGTCAGGGTCGATGGATGTATCCAACCATTCGAACAGCCCGTCGCCATACTCCTGATCGCCGCTATCGTCCTCGAAGTCCGATGCCAGGTTGTCCTCAGCTCCTTCTCGGACAGGCTCGAACTCGACCTCCTCGACTGCAGTGGGAACGGGAGCCCAGGCAGACTCCTCAAGGGATCCCTCTCTCTCGCATCCTTCTCCCCAGTAGGCATCTGGGACCACCGAGCGACCTGCGCTCCGACGCACGGGAAAGCCAGCTCGCCACAGAACGGCGCGAGGCTCTAAGTACAAGAAAGGCCTCGACGCTCCGACGCCGCCGTGGAAGACCCCACAACCGATCGTCAGGAAGCTCACCAGCCCGATGTAGCACCACCACCCGAAAGACGTGTCCAGCAAGAAGCTCGGCACGAAAGCGGCTCGCCGCCGCGGCCGTGGTAGAAGGGATTGACCCCTCAGGCCTTGGCCAGAGCACACCACGATAGCTCCGGCCGCAACCTATTCGTCCTCGCCGGCGGGCTGCCCCGAGCGCACCTCACCCAGGTGCTTGCTGAGGATCGCCCGCCGCCTGAGCTTCTCCAGCACCTCGTCGTCGGCCCCCCTGTTCTCGCTGTTGGGGTCCCCGTCGAGGCGCAGGTACTCCTCCGCCAGACTCCAATCGACCTTGGAGCGCCACTTGCCGCCGTGCTGCGCCTTCGGCCTCTGCCAGTCGCTCTTGCACTGCACCCGCTCGTAGGCCTTCCAGATCGAGTACAGGCGCAAGCAGGTCACCTCCGCGGCCTGCGAGTTGATCAGCTCGTCGCACTGCCCCTGGCTCATCATCCTGTCAAGGACCAGCGCCAGCATGTTCAACTCCTGCGCGATGCCTGCGCCCTGCAGCTCCTTGGAGCGGAGCCACTCCTGCGTCTCCACGCGGGCGCTCCGCCCGCCCTTGTAGAGCCTCGCCAGCACCGTCGGCGCCACGCGGGCCTTGATCCCCCCCACGGGGGAGCCTGCCACGCGGCGGTACTTCTCCAGCGTCGTCAGCAAGCTCTCCTTCGGGTTCTTCGACTCCTCCTTCAGCTGAACGATCTGGTCCTTCAGGGGGTCATCGAGCTCGCCCAGGTCACCAACCTTCTCCCAGGATGCTGCGCTCGAACTCGGCGTAGGCGATCCTGCCTGCGCCCGGGTGCTCAAGCCCGAGTCACGCTGCACCAGCTCCTCGTGCTCCGTCAACTTCTTGATGAACGCATCCACCTCGGCCGTGCTGGGCTCGTCTCCTCTGGACGGCGGCGGCCCCGCGGGGGGCGGAGGAGGCGGGCCTGGCTCCGACGCCAGAGCCCCACCGCCGCAGGCCGGGCCTGCTCCCGCGCCGCCCCCGACATCCAGCCTCGACTTCAGCATGCCCACCGCGTCGGCCAAGTCAGACTGCCCCCGAGCCAACTCCGCGAACAGGGTCTTGGTGTCCCGCTCGTCCCCACTCACATCACTCACGTCTTCGCCAGCGTGCACGGACCCGCCGTCCGAGTCCGAGCCCGAGTCGCTGTCCGAGTCGCCCTCCTTTCGGCACGAACACCCGTATGTCCAGACCGCGTAGATCCCGATGAGGACACAGCCCAGGTACGCCGCGCCCAGCTCGAGGTCGCCCGACTCGTACAGCTCGCCCATGAACTCGCGGAAGTTGTCCAGGTCCTCGATCGCCTGCATCCCCGCGGAGATGGTGTGGTATCCTGCGGCGAAGAAGGACCCGAGATGCAGCCAACGCCACAACCTCCAGCCCACAAAGAACGCCGCCGCGGCACCGCCCCACGTCTTGTGGGCCCACGCCGTCACCACGGTGGTCACGAGCCCCTTGCCGAACCAGGACGCCACCTTGGCCTTCGAGCTCGCCTTCTTGCCCTTCGTCAAGTTAGCCTTGGCGCTCTCGGCGCCAGCCTGTCCCAGCTCGTGTCGCACAATGAGCCGCTCCGCGGCTATGATCGCCTGCTCCCTCTCCTTCTCGCTCAGCCCTGGGTGCTCGGTCCAAGTCACTCCCTTCTTCGGGCGCGGCAGCATCCTCGTCCCGCAGGTTGATGATCTGCACCCGCTTGGCGGGGTCGATCGCGGTCCACACCAGCGAGGTCCCTGGCCCGACGCGGCCCACGAGCAGCATCACCACCCCCGTGTTCCTCCCCTGCGTCTGGACGTAGACGCGGTTCCACCTGCTCCACGGCGCCATGAACCCCGCTGGCGACCCTGTCCACTCGGCGCCCCCCGCGAGGTCGAGGGGCTCGATGAGGACCTCCTCGGACTCCCTCTGGCGGCCGCCGAAGAACTCCAGCAGCCCGTCCAGCTCGCAGAGGGCGAGTGCGGTCACCAGCAGCCAGCCGGGACGCCCGATGGCCGGCGTCGTGGCGGCGCCCGAGCCTGTCGGGCTCGGGGCGAGCAGGGGCTGGAAGCTACCCCTCTCTGAAGGCTCGAGTGCGGGCCTCGCCCGCGAAACCCACGCCTCGAGCCGAAACTTTGCGCCAGGGGAGGAGGGTCAAGCACGAGAGAGAAAGCGCTAGCCCTTCTCCTAAATTGCAGTTGAGGCGGCTATCTGAACGTTTAAAGGGGGTGTGTAAAAGTGTGTTTAAAAACGCGTAGTAGTAGTAGTAGTAGTAGTAGTAGTAGTAGTAGTAGTAGTAGTAGTAGTAGTAGTAGTAGTAGTAGTAGTAGTAGTAGTAGTAGTAGTAGTAGTAGTAGTAGTAGTAGTAGTAGTAGTAGTAGTAGTAGTAGTAGTAGTAGTAGTAGTAGTAGTAGTAGTAGTAGTAGTAGTAGTAGTAGTAGTAGTAGTAGTAGTAGTAGTAGTAGTAGTAGTAGCAGTAGTAGTTGTTGTCGTAGTCGTAGTCGTAGTCGTAGTCGTAGTCGTAGTCGTAGTCGTAGTCGTAGTCGTAGTAGTTTGTTGTTGCAGTTGTAGTAGTAATCGTAGGCGTCGTAGTCGTCGTGGCCGAAGTATTAATGATAACTTGAGTGATAGTACAAGTAGCTGTAGTAGCAGGAGGAGGAGGAGGAGGGAGGAGGAGGGAGGGAGGAAGGGTGGAGAAGGGAGGTCAGAGGAGGGAGATGGGAAGAGGAGGAGGAGGCAGCAGCAGAAGCAGCAACAGCAGCAGAGAGGACGGCGTGACTAGGGGGGCGAACGCGGCGCGGCCCGCCCGCCCGCCGGCGCAGAGGCGCCCAGATCCCGGCCTCGAGCTCCTCCCGGAGCCTCTGCGCCTCGCCCTGCAGGGTCCGGACCTGCTCCCCAAGCGTGTCGGCCTGCCGCGGGCTCTGCGCGCGCGCGGCGGCCTGGCACGAGTCCCGACGACGGCGACGACCGACGACGGCGGCGACCGACGACGGCGGCCAGCGACGGCGGCCAGCGACGGCGGCCAGCGACGGCGGCGACGGCGGCGGCGACGGCGGCGGCGGCGCGCCGACGGACGACGACGGTGGCCTTGGGGCGGCGGCGGCAACGGCGGCAGCTACCCTGCGGCGGCGGCGGCGGGGAGGCGGGTGGGATCGGGCGGGAGGGTCGGCAGCAGCGCGCTCAGAGATGGAGCCCTGAGGGGCGGGGCTCTGAGGGATGGGGCTATGAGGACGAGCGGCGTCAAACGGTAGAGGTTCAGCTTCGTATCCCTCTCCTCCATCCCTCGGGCCGCCGGCTGGTCCCTCGGATGCAAGCAACCCTGCTCGGCCTGGCCCGAAGCACCACCGAACGTTGCCGGAGTGCCCAAGACGCGCGGATCGACGCGTCCCCCGCCGATTGCACCTGAAGATCAGTGCGGGCCAATTCGGCCAACAGAAAATCGGGCCAGCGTTTGTACTGGCACCCGGTGGGAAAGAGCTGCGACACGAAAGGTACGGGCCCTGGAGAAGTGATGCCCTGCATGTCATTCGCCGTTCTTCGGGCCCCCTGGGGCCATCCCACGGGCCGCAGGAACGTCCAGAAACAAGAGCGAGGCGGGCGGGGCCAGCCCTCAGGCCCGCGGGAGCAGCCGACGCTGCGCGCGCCGGGCGGGGGGAGGGGAGGCTCGGGGGGGGGGGGCAGGGCCGCCAAAAGCCGAGCCGTCGGGGTCATCTTGGGCCGTCCTGGAAGCCTCTGGGGCCCTCTTGGGTCGTGGTTGAGGCCATCTTGGCATGTCTTGGGCCAACTTGACGGGCATCTTCGCTGTCCCACCCTGGCAAAGGCGCCTAACTTCTTCTTCTTTTTTTTTCAGCGGACTATTTTGGGAGAAGAAGGAGGAGGACGAGGAAGCGGACGACCGCGACGCACCACATGTACTCTCCACACCGCCTGCCAGGCCCAACACGAACAACTTGGGCTCACATATCAAGGCAAATGCATGTGTCACGCAAAGGCGCCCAACTTCTGGCTTCGCGCTGCGCGAAGCGCGCTGCGCGAAGCGCGGAGCGCGAAGCGCGAAGCGCGAAGCGCGAACAACTTCGCGCTCTCCCGCCGCCCCCCAGGGGAGGAAGAGGAGGATGAGGAGTCGGAGCCGAGGCGCGCAGGGCGAACAGCCTCGCGCCCTGGTTGCCCTTGCTCAGGGGCCATCCCAGGCGAGGAAGCAGCTGGGAGGCGGGGGCGACGGGAGGGACCTCTCAGGAGCAGGAGGAGCATCCTCCTCCTCCTCCTCCTCCTCCTCCTCCTCCTCCTCCTCCTCCTCCTCCTCCTCCTCCTCCTGGGAGGAGGGCCTCCCGCAGGCCGACCGCGCGGAGCGGGGGCGGAGAGGAGCGGCGGGGGGCAGAGGACGGGGCACGGGCGGCAGGAGGCGCAGCTCTGCGCCGTCGGCGCGGCACGGCGCCACGAGGTGGTGCCTCCTCGGCTCCTCGCCGTCGGGCCCGGGTGCGCCAGATCTGGGCGTAGCTTACCCATCGGTCGGAAGAAGCAATTAGAAGCATGAAGTAGGAAGGCGCTGAAAGTAGATTGGGTCCCGCCCGCCCCCAAGGAGGGCGGAAAAGGTGAAGCCACTCGATCATTGAAGTAGGAAGGCGCTTAAAGTAGATTGGAGTCTGGAATTCCGAAAATACCTGATGTCAACGACCGATGGGTAGTTGGGGGGCGATAGTTGAAGGGGGGGGGGGGGGGGGAAAGGTGCACTTACCGGGCCCTAAAAGGCCCGCTTTCGGGTCCTTCAGGGCCCCTTGAGGGGCCCTCAAGGGGCCCTTTCCTGCAGCCCTCGCTACCCCCCGACTTATCGCCCCCCCTCCCTTTCCGCGACGCCCAGCAAATATCCACGACACGGCTTCTATGTGGGGTGTCTCCAGGAAGAGGGGAAGGGCATTATGTTGTTGAAGTGTGCATCTGAAATTCAACGGCTAGCTGGTCAGGTGACAAGTCGGCACGCAGCACGCCCAACACGGTAGGGACTGATGCCCTGGACTTGCATAGGCTCGGGCGCCAAGGTTGCGGGCAAGCTATACTGCGGGCCGCAGTTCACGGAAGGAGGGGGGGAAGAGGGGAGAAAGGGCAGAAAGGACGGAGGGGAAGGGGAGGAAGAGGTGAGGATGAACGGATGTGGCCCCGATTCGGGAAACCCTTTCCACCTCTTGGGGGGGCTTCTTTTACTTCCGCTGGCCCTCCGCCAGCTCCCGCCGCCCTTCCGCCGGCCTCCGCCGGCGGAGACGGCCTCGTACCACTTCCGCCGCCTTCCGCCGCCGCCCTTCCGCCGCCTCCCGCCGAGGCAGAGATGCCGTCTCCCTCGATCTCCAGGCGAGACCCTTCCTGGAACGCCCCGTGTGGGCGTGGATGCGGGGCCGGCCGGATCAGCAAAAGGCCCAGGCCCGGCCGAGGAGCGGGGAGGAGGAGCGGGGAGGAGGAGGAGGAGGAGGAGGAGGAGGAGGAGGAGGAGGAGGAGGAGGAGGAGGAGGAGGGGGAGGAGGAGGAGGAGGAGGAGGGAGGAGGAGGGAGGAGGAGGGAGGAGGAGGAGGAGGAGGAGGAGGAGGAGGAGGGAGGAGGAGGAGGAGAGGAGGAGGAGGAGGAGGAGACCCCTTTTGGGGGAGGCGCCGGCAGAGACCTGCCGAGCGCCCGGCACACGCCCCTTGGCCACGGGGGGGGTCGGCGGCGGAGCGGGCGGCCCGCGGGCAGCACCCAAAGAGGCCGCTCACGAGGCACGGCGCCGGCAGGAAGGCCAGAACGAGGGGAGGACGAGAGGAGGAAGGGCTCCTCCTCCTCCTCCTCCTCCTCCTCCTCCTCCTCCCCTCCTCCTCCTCCTCCTCCTCCTCCTCCTCCTCCTCCTCCTCCTCCTCCTCCTCCTTTCCTTCTCTGTGCAAGTCCGGCTGCGCCCTGTTCTGACTGGGCTCGAAGATGCCACAACAAAAAAGGAGGAAGGGGTGGAGACGGGGGAGGGGAGGGGAACCTGAGATCCGCCCGTGGCAATCTGGTCACCCCGAAGGATTCCGCCGAGATCAGGGCCCTGGGACCATCGCGGATCGATCCGGCTCGAGAAAATGCGCACAAGGAAAATGTCCAGGGCTCCGGTCGTGATTTTTCATGATGGTGCACTCTTTTCGCAACGTCGGATCTCGGGGAGGGAAGGGGAGGGCAGGGGAGGGGAAGGGAGGGGAGGGGAGGGGAAGGGAAGGGGGGCCAGGGATGAGGGGAGAGGGAAAAGTCCAGAGGGGGAAGGAGGGCAGGGGAGAGGATAGGAGAGGAGTGGACGGGCAGACAAGAGATGGCTCTCCTCTCCTCCTCGACCTCATCTGTCTCGTCCGCACCTCCTTGTCAACATCGGCCTCCTCCTCTTCCTCCTCCTCCTCCTCTTCCTCCTCCTCCATCTCCTAGTGACCTAGTGCTCCTCCTCCTCCTCCTCCTCCTCCTCCTGCTCATCATCATCATCCTCGTATTATCAGTATCGTTGTTATCTTGCGTAGTTGCCTTCATCCTGATATCACCCGACACCACTCATGGTTACTATCATCCATGATCACCACCATCGCCATCAGAAATCCCATCATGAACATCATCATCCTCATCCTCGTCCTCGTCCTCAATCAGCCAAGCATCATCAGCAGCAAACACAATGTCATCATCATCATTTTCATATGTGGCATCATCAGCAGCAGCATCAGCATAGTCATCATCATATCAGCCAGCGTTGACTCCAACTAGATTGGACGACTCACATCAAGGAATCAGAGGAATCAAGCATGTTTGGAATCCGCAACTCAGCAAGAAAGCAAGCGTGCAAGGAAGCGCGCAAGCAAGCAAGCAAGCAAACGTGCAAACGCGCAAGCAAGCAAGCAAACAAGCAGGCATTGGCATCGGCGTAGGCAAAGGAGTTAGGAAAGAGGCATGGGCATAGGCATAGCCATAGGAATTAGGAGGGGCATAGGAAGAAGGGGGGGATGGGGCCACGGACCAATTAGTAGGGTTTGAGCTAGGACTCCTACAGGGCAAGCCTATTGGGAGAATAATCATCAGCATCACGATGTGCAAAATCATCATCAGCAGCAGCATCATCATCATCCTCATCATCATCATCATCATCATCATCATCCTCATCATCATCATCATCATCAGCAGCATCGTCATCATGTTCAGGATCATCACCATCACCATCATAAGCATGATCGTCATCGTCATCCCCATATACGATGTCATCATCGTCGTCACCCCGTCATCATCAACAAATTAAACCAGTATCAGCATCATTATCCGCACCATCATCATCAGCATCATCAGCAGCAGCAATCAGCAGCAGCAGCATCATCATCGTCATCGTCGACATCATTGCCAGCATCATCATGATCAGCATCGTCATAAAAAACCATGATTAGCATCAGAATCATCAGCAACATCATCAT